TCAAATCCATAAAAAAAAACCATTATATTATTATTTTGTACGTTAAAACCCTTATATTTTTAAAATGTCTAATTTAAGACTTCGAGTTCAAGTAAGCCCTGGATAACAAAAAATGCTAGGTAATCGATTCTCAACGATTTGATGTATACAATTCACTAGATTAAAAATTTTCAAAAAATATAAGAGTTTTGATATACTAAAAAAATAATGTAGTGGTTTTTTTAGTGCTTAAATGAAAATAAATTGGGTTTTTCTAAGGTCAAAAAGACTTAAATAAGACATGCAGAAAATATAAGGGTTTTAGTGCACTAAAATATAATATAGTGGTTTTTTAAGAATCAGATGAAAATATGTTGGGTTTTTATAAGGATTTCCCTAAATTATGTGACTATATATAATGATATCAAGGGGTTGCCACAAAATTTCAAAATTGTAATTTATATGATAATCATATTTTTGAATGGGATAGTTTTTCTTATACCAAGTAATAATCAAATCACACCTCTTTCCCTCTTTATATGCTCTCGTGTATATAATAAAACCCCAACCGTGCAACACCAAGAATTATGAGAATGAGGAACACATTTCCAGCCACCACAACAATAACAATAGTATTCTTGCTTTTGTCACCAATTGGAGGATTCAGGTCTAAATAGTAAATAACAACAATGTCATTATAAATTTAATTAGCAGTAAAACGAAAGATTAAAATAGGAACAATAACATACCAGACACCATAAAAATGGATGATATTAAAAGGCCATATGATCCTCTATTTGGGACTGCTATTGTAGCTTTTCCAACATACTGGAAACGAATTTCTAATCAAAAGCACATCATCCAAGATTCTGAAATCTTGATCAGCTTCATAAATCAGCTTCATAGACAACAGTGATGTTATACTTATACAGATGCATTTCATTAGTCTGTCCAGTTGGGATTTCCATCGCATGGGTTTAGGCTAAAATCAAAGTCATGTTTCCCCATTTGTTTGGCTATTTCCTCAAGAGTACTATTCACTGCAGGATAAGATCAAACAATCTCGTTGAGTAATTCTTCACAAATACATATCAAATAACTCAGAATCTTGAAAAAGAAAAGAAACGAAACATAAAACGAAAGAATTGCCTTCGCCATTGATCAAGAGGAAGTTCTTCCGCTTCATCAACTCTGTTTATTCCGTTAACCAGCCGTGACATATAAAACATGCTGCATATGCACAATCTTCAGTCTATTTAAAAGCAAGGTAAGGTCTAATTAATGCATCATTAATTATAACTCACCAGCACAAGACAAGATGGCAGAAAATTCAAATCCAAATTACACTGCCGCAAATTTATTGTAGAAACATAAAAAAACAGATGGTCTGCCATGCTGCGTGCCATCTTCCATTCACCTAAAACATCATCCCAATAAATGTATTATACTATGAAGGAAACAAAGACAAGATGGAGGATATAGCTAAGCTGCCTACGATTACCGATTACATTCACAAATTAAAAAATAAGGTGGCATCAATGTAGGTCTTAACTCTATATTTCAAAAGAAATTGATAACCACCAAATTTTAGTAAAAAAAAAAAAAGTTTAAAATCTTTCAAAAAATCGAAACCCCTTTCAAAGGGTTACCGTTGAACTTTCCTTCATTGCTCCCATGAGTCTAGTCTCCAATTTCACACTCTCCTCCACCTCCTCAGCCCTTCGTTGACTTGTCAGTGGTTTAATCGCTGTGTTCGTTCACATGTTGCCGGTCGCCGTCGCCTCTGCAGCTCTACCTCTTGCTGGTCGTGGATAGGTAATATGGCTGTGTTTCTCACTCAATCGTATGTCTCTACTATATTTGTGCATAATTGAAACTAGGGAAAGATGGAGTAAAAGTAAAAGTAATTGATTTCTGACAAAAAATAAATGTACTTAGAACCTGTTTATACCATCTCTTCTTGTCTATTGCTTTTATAAATTCTACCTTGTATTTATTTATATATTTAAATCTTACGTTTGTATCTATTTGAGAACTAAGGCCATATTGTATACTCTCAACGAGAGCATCTGTGTTTCATACGGCCACGAGAAAAATTCGTGCACACCACCCCGACAAATCGTGGTCGGGCGTGGTCGTTATGATTTGTGTTGCCTACGACGATTTTAAACGCGAAAGTTGATTGGTGATTGCTTTCTCGACCGTTGAACGACCATTTGGCCTTTTTTTTCAAACTCAATTCAGTACATATAAAACCTTCATTCTCATTCTCTAAAACCTTTTATTTTCGAAACTTACACCTTCATTCTCATTCTCTAAAACCACAAGACACATGCACATCGATTCCACAAAACACATGGAATTCTTAAAAACTTTTGACTCGGATGACGACGTAGAATTCGTCGAGACATTCTTCAACGTTGTGCAACACATTCATGACGAAGAAAGTTCGAATGTTGCTCGTACAAGGGCGGTCGTCAATCGTGATCGTCAAGCCGCACACGACTTATTGGTACGTGATTACTTTGCCGATAATTTTCTTTATAATGACAACTCGTTCGAACGTCGTTTCCGTCTGAATAAGGCTATATTTTTACGTATTAGTAATGCTTTAGAATCTCGTTATGATTTTTTCAAACAAAAGCCCGACGCTAGAGGAAGAATGAGTTTTAGTAGTATACAAAAATGTGCGGCTGCTCTTAGGTATTTGGGATACGGTATAGCATTTGATGCATCTGACGAATACTTGAAATTATCCGAGAGGACCGCAGTTGAATGTGTAGATTGGTTTTCTGCATGTGTGTATGAGGTTTTTCACGAACAATATTTGTCCAAACCTACTCAACGTCATATTGAGATATTATATTCGGCTCATGAAGAGAGGCATGGGAATCCGGGTATGCTTGGCAGTCTAGATTGTACGCATGTGGCTTGGGAAAAATGTTCAAATGCATAGCGTGGTCAGTTCACTCGAGGGGATATAGGTGAACCAACTATCATCCTAGAAGTTGTTGCATCTCAAGATTTGTGGATATGGAATGCATTTTTCGGAGTAGCGGGGTCTAACAACGACATTAGTGTTCTTGGCCAGTCTCCTCTTTTCAACGATATTTGGACCGGCAAAACACCTGATATGACGTTCACGGTGAACGGGCACGCGTACAAATACGGTTACTACCTTGGTGATGGGATACATCCGGATTATTCTACATCGATGAAGGCATACTCGGTTCCTCGAAGTGAAAATGCAAAGTTGTTTACAAAAAAACAGGAATCGGCGAGAAAGGATATCGAGAGGGCATTTGGAGTCCTTAAGCAGACATGGCATGTAGTGAAATATGTTACACTACTATGGGATAAAGAAAGAATTAAACGAATGGTCCTAGCATGTATTATAATGCATAATATGATTATTGAAGATGAAGGTCGAGCGATTTGCACGTACGATCCGAACGACGTTGTCATTCCAATTGAGGAGTTTGTACCCAGAACGAATGAGTTTTTAGAGCGAGTTGTTGAAATTCATAACAGTGAAACGTGTTTCAGTCTTCGAGAAGATGTTGCGGAACATTTGTACCAACGTAACATAAACGAAGATTAGATTTATATGTATGTTTATTTGTTTTTTTTAATTAATGTAATGTTTTTTTTATTTCTAGATTAATTAAGTAGTGTAGTTTGAAGTAGTAATTTTATTTTTATATTTAATGAAAAACTAGTTAAAAAAATGAATGTTTTTTAATTATTAAAAATGTAATTTTATTGTATTTTTGAATTAAAAAATAAAAACTAAAAATAATGATGTGGAGTGGTGTGTTAGTGGTAGGTATCCCATGTTAATGGTAGAGAAATGTGGTGCTGATGTGGCACCCACCACATATGTGATATGTGGTGGGTATAACAGATGGCCTAAGTTAAGGAAATCAAATATTAAAAGGAAAAAATAGTATTGACAATTTTAAATTGCTAGAAAAAAAAAACACTATTTATCATTTTAAATCGTAGTAATCAAATATTTATAAAAAAAATTATTAATTGGTAAATATAGATATTTATCTGTAAGTTTATAATGATTAATAAAAATGATAAAGGCATTATCTGAATTTAATTTGTCATCTTAACTCGCCCTAAACTTCATGTGAACATCAATCATGGTCCTCAGACATTAACAATATTTATTTTGGATATAATAAATATTAAAGATATGAAGCTTGGGCATCATATAGATATAAAATATGAAAAGGATAATTAAAATCAACAAAACATCAACGAACTTTGGTACATTGGTTTAAATGGTCCTTCGTGATTATTTTTTGCATTTGAGGGGCATGTACTTATGTTTTTATGTTTTAAAAGGTCATTTTTGAAAATTTAAAGGGGTCATCCGGTGACACCCATCCTACCTTGCACTTTACCAATTCCACGTCATTGTCATCTAGATTAAAGAAGTCCAGGTCATTGTTGCTGTCATAGAGAGACCCACAAAAATGAAAAATGTCTAAACTTTTTTTACAAGATTCCTTGCAAACCCTTCAATGGAACCACAATTAGAGCTTTACTCAACCATCAAAATCCAATACAACCCATAATTCCTCATCTCGTTAATCACCCCGACCCCAACACCAAAACCCTTTTTCACGAATCTTCATCTGAGAGCAAATCGCCCCATTTCAATCGATTTAATGTTTACCCTATTTTTTCATTTAGGTATTTCTTGAATCCAATTTCTTCATCTGGGTTCAGGGTGCCTCCCACTCTCTATATATGACTCCTGAATCTCCCAAGAAAAGATCTGTAAGCTGGAATTAGTAGATCAGAGATGAAGATTCTTAGCTCTTCACGAAGCTGTGTGTATCTGGTATTAGCCATAAAGCTTGAGTTTTGTGAACGTCTTCAAACATGGCGTTAAAGGACTTGAATCGTTCTCTCAAAGCAGTTTTTGAAACCCCAGATGAGAAACTTCCACTCACGTGTAACCCTTCGTCTCTCAAACAATACAGTACTCCTACCCATGTGGCTCGTTAGTAGCTTGTTGCAGCTTGCCGAAATTTTGCTGTGAGTTTTCGCAGGTAATGATCTCCGATCATCTCTCTCAGCTCTGATGAGCCTTTGATCTTTTTGACGATGTAGTGAACGTTGTTCATGATGAAGAGATGAGCAAGGGAATTGTCTTTATAGTGCTTGGAATTTCCTTCTATATTGAATTGGAGAATCACTATGATCCAAATCAAATGGAGTGTTAATGACGATCGCTCTTCGTGGTCTGCTGAAATCCATATCTGGAGTAGTTTGATCGTCGGAGTATCGAGAACCGATTTCTTCATCTGGGTTCGTGGATTTTAAGCCCAAGGAAGATCCTAACACAAGAAAAAACATTATGGTGTTGATTTAAAGTAGTGACTCAACGGGTTGAAGGACCGGCTCTAACATGCTTACTTGGAAGGTGACTAGGCATGAATACCTACTAAAAACGGTAAAGATACATTTTTAATCGGTAAAGTACAAGTACATGCCCCTCAAATGCAAAAAATAGTCACGAGAGACCATTTAAACCAATGTACTAAAGTTTGTTGCCTACATTGACAATAACCCTACCTAAAATACTGAAAAATATATTTTATAATAAATATCTACAAAATGTTAAAAATTATTTATTAAATTATAATATCAAAATTAGTTTCTATAAACGTTTTTTTGGAACCATAGATAATTTTTAGTAACTTAAATCGATTCATAAAACATACAATGTTTTTTTGGAAGAGTAATACAATTTTTTTAGAGAAACATGTACTTTTAGCGTAGAAAAAAAAAATAAAGCTACAAATACAAGTTAAGTTTATAATCAAAAAGAAGAAAAAGTAAATATAAAAATAGTTATTATACAAAATTCACTGAAAAATAACCAAAACACATACATGTTTAAACACAAAATAATGTGTCGTTAATATTAAAATTATATGAGTTAAAATATTATTTGAAAAAATATGTATCAAATATTATATAACTAGGCGAATGCCCGCGCGTTGCATAAAAACACCTATATAGTTGAAGTTTTTATAAATATATGTTTTTTTTAAATATAACAATAACGTTGTTGTTAAATTTGATATAATAATTCGTATACTAAATTAATATAATATATCGATTATTTTGAATTATATGATAATATATACATCCATTATAAGTGCATAATCTCAATTGGTTGAATTATTTCAAAAAGATATATCACTATGTCTTTCCTTTTTTCATTTTAACCATACGATTTATAATTTGCGATTAAAATAAAATACGTATTTAAATAAGATATATATACAAATAGGTTTTTTTTATGTTTTTTTAAATACATATAACTGAAAACGTATTTTAAATAATTTATATAATTACAAAAAATATTTCTTTTTAAAAAAAATATGTATTTTAAATAATTTATATGAAATACATATTTTAAATATTTTTTATGAAATACGTATTTTTTTAAAAACGTATTTTAAATAATATATAATAACAAATAATTTATATGAAATACATATTTTAAATAACTTATATGAAATATGTATTTTAAAAAATACATATAACTGAAAACGTATTATTTTAAATACGTATTTTCTTAAAAAATATATTTTACAAAAACGTATTTTTTATACGAAAACGTATTTTTTAAAGACAAAAAATATATTTTACGTAAAATAAATACATAAAAAAACAAACAAATTGTTTGTAAAAAACTAATTTTTTATAATACGACTAAAATACATTTTGTTTTATTTAAAAAAAAATATGTAAAAAAATGTTTTTTATATTTTATTTATTGTTTATGTTTTAACGATTTTGTTATTATATAAATGAGTTTTAGGAAAGAATAAATTAAGAGAGCATTCGACTTAATTGGTTAAGGTCTTAGTACTTTAAGAGGGTGGAGGTCATGAGTTCGAATCCTCCCCTTAGCAATTTAATTGTATTTTTCAAAGAAATTTCAACAATGGTCCTTGTGGTTTACCAAATGTCACGAATTCACTCCCTTTATACTTGAAAAAACGAAAATATTCTTACAGATTCAGTCCCTAACGGCTGAATAATAACGACATTTGTAAAAAGGGTCATCTGTGCAAGTGTTGCAAACCACAAGGGCCACTTGCATCAAAAAAAGTTAACAGATACTGACTTTGTTACTTTTAGCAAACCATATGGACCATTTTTATAATTTTATCTAAATTCTATCTTGTATTTATTTATACATTTAAATTTTAAGTTTGTATCTATTTGAGAACTAAGTTAAGGAAACCAAATATTAAAACGAAAAAATAGTATTGATAATTTTAAATTGCTAGAAAATAAGTACTATTTATAATTTTAAATCGTACTAATCAAATATTTATAAAAGAATTATTGATTGATAAATATAAATATTTATCTGTAAGTTTATAATGATTAGTAAAAATGATAAAGAATTGTTATCTTAACCTATCATGTTAACCCGTCCTAAACTTTATGTGAATCATGGTCCTCAGGCATTAACAATATTTATTTTGGATATAATAATATTTTTTTAGATATATAAATATTTGAAGCTGACATCATATAGATATAAAATATGAAAAGGATAACTAAAATCAACAAAACATCAAAATATAATAGTTGTACTTTAATTACATTAAATTAATAACATTATAATAAAAATTTTAAATTTTAAATTTTAAATTTCCTACTCTAATTACTAAAATCAACAAAACATCAATCTATTGATTCTTTATTTTAAATTTTAAATTTCCTACTCTAATTACATTAAATTAATAACATTATAATAAAAATTAAAATAAAATTAATACAAATTAAAAAGTGATATAATTTCACATATTTATTTAAATCAATGATTATAATTTTATATAACTAAAAAATCTCTGAATTAATAATATATTTAAAATAATTTATTTAAAACAATTTGAGATTTTACTATAAAAGTTTAATTAATTTTATAACCGTGGTTCTCACGGGTTATAAACTAGTGCCAAAATAAAGAAAAATAAATATTAACATAATATATTTAAAAAAAATAATGTATATATTTCCATTTTTATATTTTTCCTCATCTATTTTCCTTGCTTTAAAAATGTTCTCATAAATAAAGATTTCATAACGGGTAGCTTACATTTCACGATCATACTGCCAACAATTAAAAAGTAATTCCAAGATTTTTTTTTCAAAGGCTAATGTAAAGGATTTCATTATTCAATTGTCGAGCACGCCATACAATTGGATCAAATAAATAAGAATTCCTATCAGATAACAGCCAAAATGGAAAATAATCTTTGTCCTAAAATAGGTTGAGCATATCTTCTGATATTCCCCTCAGTGCGAACGTGGCGAGGCGGACACGTTCAAGCTGGAGCGAAAGGAATCAAACAGGTATCGAGGAAGCCCTTTGGTAAAAATATTTGCATACTAATACGGAGAAGGGATGTGAAGAACCCGAATGTGACCAATTTGGACCTTTTCACGAACAAAGTGAATGTCCATCTCCACGTGTTTAGTCTGTTGATGTTGAACCGGATTGCCAGAGAGGTAAACGGCGGAGACAATGTCACAATAGACAATAGTGGCCTGACGGGCAGGAACTCATAGTTCAAATAATAAGTTTCGCATCCAGGTGGCTTCAGCTACGACATTTGCAACGCCCCTGTATTCAGCCTCTGCAATGGTCTAGAAATAGTGGGTTGTCGTTTAGAGGACCATGAGATGAGGTTAGGGCCAAGAAAAATGCAATATCCTGAGGTAGAGCGCCTTGTGTTGGGGGCAGCCACCTCAATCCGCGTCAGAATAGGCAACGAGACGTGAATCCGAAGAGGTCGTTAGACGTAACCCGTGATCCAACGTGTCATGTAGGTAGCGAAGAACCCGTTTCATAAAAATCATATGGGGTTCCCGTGGAGTGTGCATGAACAGGCATATTTGTTGAACAACATATGACAGATCCGGAGGAGTAATGGTGAGATATTGCAGTGCCCCCGCCAAACTTCTGTATAAAGAACCGTCCGGTAGGAGTGCCCCGTCAGAAGCACTGAGCTTGGAGTTGGTATCGACGGAAGCGTGACATGGTTTACACGAGGTCATATTAGTCCGATGGAGAATATCTCTAGCATACTGGGTTTGTCCAAGGAAGACAGAATTGGCATCCATAGTAACCTGGATGCCGAGAAAGTGGTGAACAGGGCCCATATCAGTCATAACAAATTCTTGTGAGAGTCGTTTGATAACATGATTTAATACCTGCGGATGGCTAGCCGTGAGAACAATATCATCAACATATAAAAGTAAGTAGGCAATCTGATCGTCGTGATGATAAATAAACATGGATGTGTCACATAGGCTTCTTCGAAACCCGAGGGAGGTGATGAACCCTAAGAACCTGGAGTACCACTCCCATGGCGCTTGTTTAAGGCCGTATAGAGACTTTTGCAGTCTACAAACATGATTAGGGAATTTGGGGTCGATAAAACTCGTGGTTGTTACATGTAGACCGTCTCCTGAAGGGTTCCATGGAGGAAGGCATTCTTGACATCGATTTGGTGAATTGGCCATGATTCGGAGACTGCCAAAGATAATACTATGCGAATGGTACCTGGTTTGATCACATGGCTAAATGTTTCCATGCAATCAATGCCGATGGTTTGAGACTTTCCGTTACAAACTAGTCTTGCTTTGTACCTGTCTAGCGAGCCACCGACTTTAAATTTGTGCCGAAATAACCAAAGTGACTGAATGACAGGCCTATCCATGGGACGTGGAATGAGCTCCCATGTGTTATTGACCTGTAACGTACTAAATTCATCGTTCACGGCGTGAAGCCAATTAGGGTCTGATAGCGCTTTTACATAGGAAGTAGGAATATGAGATATGTTGGTTGAGGCGACAAAGAGATAGCGTGGGTTCGGATTGACCACACCATCTTTTCCATAAGTTTGCATGGGGTGAGTATTTGTCGTGGGTGGGGGAGGGTTTGGTTGGAGGGATGTTGGGGTTGATGGCGGAGAAGTTGTGGTGGTAGAAGTGTAGGTCGAAGGTGAGTTGGGATGTAACGGGTTTCGAGTCTAGTCTGGTGGTGTGTGATGGTGTTCGGCTGATGTAGTAGTAGAAAAAGATACATTATTAAAGCTTGGACTGTCCTCATCAAGAAAAGTATATGTGGTGGTGGATAGAGGTGTGTTGAACGGGAAGGTGTGCTCGCCAAAAGTAACATGACGATATAGGTGTACACGACTGGTTTGAGGGTCGTAACACCTATAGCCACGAAAATCGGCAGGATACCCGAGGAACACGCATTGGGTGG